TAAAATGATGGTTTGTGTCAGTGATTACCACCACTGTGCAGGTGAGTCAGTGACAGAAAGGCAGACGTGGCAGTGGAAGGTGTCAGTGATTACCACCACTGTGCAGGTGAGTCAGTGACAGAAAGGCAGACGTGGCAGTGGAAGGTGTCAGTGATTACCACCACTGTGCAGGTGAGTCAGTGACAGAAAGGCAGACGTGGCAGTGGAAGGTGTCAGTGATTACCACCACTGTGCAGGTGAGTCAGTGACAGAAAGGCAGACGTGGCAGTGGACGGTGTCAGTGATTACCACCACTGTGCAGGTGAGTCAGTGACAGAAAGGCAGACGTGGCAGTGGAAGGTGCTGCAGCAGTTTGGACAGAATAACTGTTAGAAAAAAAACGATGCATCAACTATTAAATTAGTCGATGATTTAATAGTGGACAATAATGGTGACTGGTCAACTAATGGTGGGAGTCCTACCCTGGTCCTCTCCTCCATGTTCCACTGGTTTCTGACACACCCGTGTCACATCCCTCCCCTCACATCAGGCTGGAATGGACACCTAGACTGTGGAGTGTGGGTCAGAGATGGCCCTAAATAAGGAAGGTTAGGGTTAGGGTCAGACAGACAGGTGGGAGTAACCTGCCCATCATCTCTAACCCAGGTGGTAGGTTCACACCACCACTTCCTGAACGTGGGGGGAGGTTAAGGAACTTTAAGATCTGGAGGTCCAGCAGAACTTGAGTCATTCAAATCTGAGCTGTTCCTAAATGTTCTCTATCTCTGATTCTAAATCACATTTATTTTGAAATCTCTTGGTCAGGATTGGAAGCCATGATGGCATCCATCACAAGATGGACAGGAAGTTTGGACCTGCTGCACTTCCTGTTTGGTGAGTGACTATGAAAGCATGAGAGAGATTTAAGAAGATGTCTAAGGTCAGATGGTTCATCTGGTGCTCCATTATTCCACAGGATTATGTGGGGTTGGTTGATTTAGAAGGTTAAAAACAAAACTGTGTTTGGTGGTTGTAGAGCATTGTGGAACTGGACCTTGGTGGTTGTAGTGCATTGTGGAACTGGACCTTGGTGGTTGTAGTGCATT